AGAGAGACCTCTAAAAAGACGGGGTGTGGTGGGGATGGGTGGGCGGGGAACCTGGGCTGCAAACCAGTGTTGTTTGGGGCCAGGAGTGGCTGTATGGTTTCAGAGGCGCCCACGGCTCTGGGTTTGAGGGACACAGCACCCTCGTCTCGGCCACGAGGCGCGGCGCTTTGGATTGTCACGCACCAGACCACGGGGCAAAGGAATGCAGTAGAATCCCAGGGGGGAGTTAAGACACACGAGGTTTGCAGTTTCGTTTTGTTTCAGAATCAGTTCAGCCATAAAAATGGGACTGGGGTGGGGACAGGAGGAGCGATTGACCACCGGAGACGAGGAGGAGGTGGTGGGCGCCTATCCTGGGGTGGGGACTGAGGGGCTGTGGAGACAGTACCATGGTGAAAGACCCCATGGCAACGGGAGTATTGCACTGAGCCAGGTTTCGGGGGAACGGGGACATGTTGGGATGGCGTAGGGGGGACAGAGCCTGGCAGGAGACACATGGAAGTTTCTGCCTTGTCAGTCTCAGAGAAAACGCCTTTTAGTCATTACAGTACAGGAATTTGGACACTGTCCACATTCTCAGTGGACGGTGGCCATCAGAGGTGACCCAGGAGGGGAAGTGGGCATTGGTCACCAAGGTATTTACAGACTTCTATCGTGGGGGACAGCGGGGTGGGTCCAGCGGCCTCCCTCGCGGGGGATCTGAGGGAGGCCGAGTTTGCTAAATATTATAAATAGGTCTTGCCGTCCTCCTGCCCCCGCCCCTCGGCACAGTCAGTGGGGCACTTCAGCCTCGGTTTACAGTTCTCTGAAAGGAACCAAAAAACACAACCAACAAAGTAGATCTCCAAAGGGGCCTTGGAGACAACACAAAAATGGAAATATGGTATCCACAGAGGTTTGCAAATTTCTCCTGCAAGGGAGTGTTGGCCGGGCACTGGTATCATGTGACTCGCTCAGCGGAGGGAGGCTGCCCTGGACGTGGTGCTGCCCGCCCGGGACCACACCTGCTGCTCCGAGTCACCCCCACAGGCTCTCCGCGTCTCTGGTGCCAGGGCTCTGGGCAGGGGGACTCGAGGGCTCCCTGGGAGGCTCAGTGTGGCCTCTGGGGGTGTGGGCCTTTGAGATGACGACAATGCCCCTGTCCCTGTTGGTCATCCAGGTCCCAGACACCCCTTCTGATCTCTGCCCCCGCCTCCCTGGGGGATGCCCGCCGGGTGTCCTTCGGAGGGATGGGGGAAGCTGATTGGTGGATGCCCGGTGCCAGCAGATGAGCACCAGGCTGTGAACTGGGGCCAAGGTGGCTTCCCGGGGCTGGACAGACCCTTCAAGCAGGCAGGGAGCACCCCACGCGGGCTGGTCCTGACGGGAGCCATGCGGGTAGCCGGTTCCCAAGGAGGGTGAGCCCCTCTCCTCGGCGGAGAGTGGAAGGGCTGCTCTCGTGGAGCGTGTCCTCGCTGAGGGCCTCGGGGATGGGGCCGGCTCCTCCACAGCAGGGCCCTTCCAGGCGCAGCGCGTGGGCTGTGCGGGAGGCCGACAGGATGTGAAGAGCGGGTGACGTGGTGTTGTACAGAGCTTGCAACAGACAAAACACAGAGCCCTGCCTGGGAGGTTCTCTGGCCGTCTCAGACCCCACACCAGGCTCTGCCAGGGCTGGAGAGGAATTCTTCCCGAAGGTGCAGCTTCCACGCCAGCTCCTCCCATCCTGGGCACATCTTGGGAGTGGGGAACCCCACGGCCATCACCAACAAGCCCCTCAGGGGTCCTGGGGAAGGGCAGGGTGGGCGACTGTGCCGAGCTCTCGACTCCAACCAGCACCCTCTGAGCGCAGCGGCCCCAGGAAGCTGCCCCAGGGCAGTCTGGGCTCAGTCCCACGACCGGGAGTGCTGCCCTCTTGGAGCGGGGTGAGCCGGAAACGGTCTCTCCTCTCCTCGGAGACATCACGTCACTTAACCAAGAAAGAGGCCGCGGCACCCACGCCAGTCCTGAAGGAGACTCCTGTGGAGCCGCGCCTGGCCCCCTTGGCCGTGCCTCCAGGTGGACGGGTCGGGGAGCCTGACCTTCCACCCTGAGCTGGTCTCCTGTGGCCCAAGGCGCGGCCTCCCGCTCCGTCCGTCCGTGGAGAAAGCGTCTCTGTTGCCTGAGCCCTCCGTGCCAGTTGCCGAGTGGCCCACATCGGAAGAGAACGACAAGTCCCCAGCCCTGAGCTCCTCCAGAATGGGTAGTGGCCTGGGGGAGAGGAGGCCTGGCCCTCCAGCTGTGGTGGGTCTGGATCGGAGGCGCCAGAGGCTTTTGCTCGAGGGGCACCTGGAAGGTGGGTGTCAGGGCCCCACTGCGGCGGGAACACAGCTGCTGAGCGGCCGCAGTGTTTGGCAGGGCGAGGGCTGTCCCCACAGTCGATGCTCAGGCCAGATGTCCCGCACTGAGGCCCCCAAACCCAAGCTGAGGGCCGGAGGGTCCGCTTCCCAGGTGGACGGAGGCAGAGTGGCTTGGGACCCCAGCCGTCCCCTCTGCAGGCTGATGGGGCCCCTGGGGCTCAGGTCCCAGAGGCCACCGGGAACAGCCTGGCTCCCTCCTCAGGACACATGCAGGCACAGCAGAGAACCAGAGTGCAGTGGGCGGGGGCTCTTCTTCATCTGGTTTGGGTTTTTGTCTTTTTTGGTCTTTTACTAAAACAGCACACACGTGCTTCCGTCTCTGGGCCGAGAAAGGACTCAAATGCGATTTGCCGCTCGGGAGGGTCAGTCTCACTGGGGCAGGCTGCCGATGGGGGTGCCGGGGCCCTGGGAGGCTTGCTGGGGAGGGGTCCGGCCATCGGCATCCGTGCAGGGGGAGGATGAGGTCCAATGGGGCGGCGAGGCGGGCATCTCCCGAGCTCTGGGCCTCAGCAGGGTGGGCAGCGCCTCCAGGGGCGGCCGGAGCGAAAGTGGAGCTCGGCTCTGGGTTGGGGACTGCATAGAAATTACTGTAAGAGCAAGAGGACAAATGAAGGTGGGCGACGGGCGGGGCGAGGCCCACCCCAGGCCACCCGCCAGGCCCCCTGCCAGGGACTGGCTTCCTTGGGCCAACACAGGCCCTGAGACACTTACCCCACGGCCACCTCAGAGCCAGAGAGCCCAGGGTGGAGCTCTGGGCCACCTGTGCCCTCCCGCCCCAGGCCTCAGTCCCTGCCTGTCCCAGTGGCTGGGGACCACGCTCAGTAGGACCTTGGAGCCCACAGGGCCGGCGGGCGCACCTGGGCCGCACTTACTGTGTCGCTCTCGCCGTCGGAGGCCGGGGGGGCCTGGGCGCTATAGTGGAGTGGGGAGTACACCCAGCTCCTCTCATCGGTGGGCTGGCGGGTGGGCGCGCGTGCAGGAGGGCGCAGAAGAGCAGGGTGCGAGGAGGCGCAAGAGAGGCAGAGGGAGGAAGGAAGAGACAGGAGAACATAAAAGAGGCGAATCCCCCACGGAGGACAAGGGGTGGCTCAGCCTGGCTGCCCTCTCTGACCCGGTGGACCTGCTCCCAACCTGGACGGGCCCGGGTCTCAGCTCAGCGTGGCAGGGCGGGGCGGGCGGCAGAAAGCGGTTAGTTCAGTCAAGGCAGGGCCTGAGACAGCAGGTGACAGAGCCGGCGGAAGCGGATGGGGGTCACAACCTGGAGCACCGAGTGTTCCTCCTCCTCCTCCACAGCCCGGCCCCACCACAGCCCCCAATCCTGCCTATGCCATGGGCACCAGCGCACAGGCTCCTGGGGGCTCTCTGTGAGGGTCCTGGTAGGTCAGGGTGCCGGACCTACTTCCCAACCCAGAAGCCTTTCAGGACCTGAACACGTGGCTGCCCGTGGGCAGGGCCAGCCCCCTCTGCCAGCACAGATGTGCTTGGGAGAGACTAAGGCTCGGACCGCCCACCCTGCAAGAGCCAGGAGACACCTTCCTGAGCAGCGGGGCAGAGGGAGGGCCAAGTTCAGGGCTAGGCACAGGCAGGGCCGTGTGCTGGGACACGGACATCTCTTCCCAGCTGTGCCTGCGTGAGGGGTCCCAGGTCTGGGTGGGATCTGGGGAGGGAGGAAGGGTGCGTTCCTCAAACACCTCCGCCCCGCCCACTGAGGAGCCCCCGGCCCCTCAAGCTCCCTCTGCTTCTCCTGCCCCCAGGCTGCTTCCTCAGGGCTCCAGCCTGGCCTCCCTGTCTTCTTGTTGCATCCTCCTCTCTCTTGGGCCTCTGTTACCACCCCAGCGTTCAACGCCCCTCCTGGCACAGACGACCTGTGAATTTCCACCAGGCCCGGCCTCAGCCTGAAGTGCCAGGCCTGAACACACACAGCTGCCTGGCCACGTCCACCTGGCAGCCCTCGGCCCCTAAACTTGTCACAGCCACAACCCAGTCCGTCACCCCAAGACCCACTGCTTGTCCTTCCAGTCAGGACAGCGCTGCCCACCCGCTGCCCAGGCCAATCCATGCCTCCTTATCGGGCCTGCGCCCCTGCCTGTGCCAGCTCCCAGCTCCCAGCCTGGGCCAGCAGGAGCCTCCCTCGCGCTCCAGGTGAGCCCAGGCCTCACCTGCAGAGGCACTGCCTCTCCCTGCCTCGGGTCCTGCCTCCATGCCCCCTCTAAAGGGCTCACTTCTGTGCTCACTCCACCCTGCCCGATCCTACAGCTCCCACCAGACCCCCGTTCCCGGCCCCTGGGCACCGAGGGCAGCGTGCTCCTGCCCTGCGAGGCTGCCATCACGGAGGACTGACTCCTGCACCGAGGGGCCGGGACCCCAGCGCAGGCCTTGCCCATTCCACTGGGAGGATAGCAAATGTAGCCTGGAATTTCCGATATGGGAACGGCAGGTCAGGTCCGCCCCTGCAATGTCCCTCGAGAGCCCGGTGTGGGAAGCCTGCGTGTGTGCTTGGTACTGATTTGGTGGCTGCACTGATGGCTCCCATGGGGACTTGAAAATGTGGGGCCAAAACAGGGTCCCCACCTGAGCCCTGAAAGAGCTGGTCGGCAGGGAGGAGGGTGGCAGCAGCCACTCAGAGCTGCTCTCTGGGAGGGGTGTCCTGGGCGGCACCGTGCACACAGCACCTGGGCAGGGACGATAGTACCCTTCTGCTACAGCGTTAGAAATGGGAGTACAGGCCAGGTGCAGGGGCTCATGCCTGTCATCCCAGCACTTTGGGAGGCCGAGGCAGGTGGATCACTTGAGGTCAGGAGTTCCAGACCAGCCTGACCAACATGGTGAAACCCCATCTCTACTAAAAATACAAAGATTAAGGCTGGGCGTGGTGGCTGACGCCTGAAATCCCAGCACTTTGGGAGGCCGAGGCAGGCGGATCACCTGAGGTCAGGAGTTCGGGACCAGCCTGACCAACATGGTGAAACCCCATCTCTACTAAAAATACAAAAAATTATCAGGGCATGGTGGCAGGAGCCTGTAATCCCAGCTACTCAGGAGGCTGAGGCAGGAAAATTGCTTGAACCCAGGCGGCGGAGGTTGCAGTGAGCCGAGATTAAGCCACTGCATTCCAGCCTGGGCGACAGAGTAAAGCTCCGTCTCGAAAAAAAACAAACAAAAAACCCAAAATTAGCCAGGCGTGGTGGCAGGCGCCTGTATTCTCAGTTACTCAGGAAGCTGAGGCAGGAGAATCGCTTGTACCCGGGAGGTAGAGGTTGCAGTGAGCTGAGATCATGCCATTGCACTCCAGCCTGGGCGACAGAGCGAGACTCTATCTCAAAAAAAAAAAAAAAAAAAAAAAAAGGGCAGAACAGCTGGTTTCCTTGTCCTGCAGGAGTTGGGGGGACAGAGAGGGACCTCCTCAGCCACCAGCCGGGCAGAGAGGGGAAGTGGGGGGCAGTGACAGCTGGGACCCAGAACCAGGTGACCCCAGGAAGACCAGAACCAAGGGCACAGCCTCTTCAGCACTCAGGCTTTGGGGTGTCTTGAACGGCTGCCCTGCCTCCCCTCTGGCCCCCACACTTCTGCTGTGCCTGCTGCTGAGACCACCCTCCCCACATCTGCCCTTTCAAACCAGGTGTTTTTCAAAGTCCAGGCACCCCCCTCTGTAGGCGGCCTCTGCGAACGGCTCCCTGCCTGTGGTGGGGTGACCGGCAGGGCCGCTGGGTCTCTCCAGTGATCCCCCTCCCAGCAGGCCCCTCTGGGGAGCTCCCTGACAATCTCCGGGGCGTGGGTCTGCGGTGGCTGGCTTCCTGCTGGCTCTGTGGGACGGAGCTGCCTGGAGCAGCCTGGGAAGTGGTCTCCACCTCCCGGGGATCACTCCACAGTGCCTGGCACACAGCAGTGTTCAGAGAGGTCTGCTGATGGGCGGGGAGTCAGGGCGGCCTCGGCGGGGGCTTTGTCTTGAGGAGACACTCCTGCTTTGGGTCTGCGCCCTGTTCTGGCTGTGCGGCGCTGGGCAGGTCTCTTAGCCTCTCTGGGCCCCTCGCTTATTGGTCATAATGACCACAGCAGGCCCTGAGGATCTCACGGCTACGTGGGGCCCATGTGGCGTCCCAGGGGGAACTCCTTGAGAGCTTGGGGATCTGGATTTTGACTAAACCGTGTGGTCTCCCAGGCTCCCAGGGGAGCTGAGGCCTCAGCACCTCCATCGGTGAGGTGGGTGCGGAGAGACCATCTCCTCCCCGTCTCCACGGCCCTGCAGTTCAGAGCCCGGCTCTGCAGCCGCTCTGCTGACCTGTGCGACCTCCCCTGTACAGTCAAGTAGGCCAGGGGAGCCAGGTCTGTACGAGTGAGAAGCATCCACCCAAGACACCCTGACATGGGAGGGCTGGGTCCAGGGGCGCAGAGGGGCTGGTTAGGGTCCGGCCGGGGTCCGAGGCAGACCCTGGGCCTCAGCTGTGCACCTGGCGATGGTGCCGCCCTATGGAGTGCCCGGTTCGACATGGGGCTGAGTGACATTCCCAGTGGTGCACGCAGCCCAGCACCTGGTCCGGGGCCAGCGTCGCTGACCTCAACCGTGGCCGTGATTTCCCCAAAGCCCTTCTGGAAAACAACGGACGTCAGACACTGAGCTTCTGGCTGGGGACCTGCAGCTCCCTGCTGCCCGAGGGGCACCGCCCCTTCTCCCCAGGGTGGCCGGCTGCGGTCACTTACAGTCCCTGAGGCGCTCAGCGTCATGGCCCGCAGTCGGCGATGGTGGGGAGAGTAAATCCAGTACCTCCCATCCGTGAACTGGACGGGCAGGCCGGGCGGGCCAGAGGAGGAAGGAAAACAGAGGATAGCGGATGAGGCGGCTACCCCCGTGGTCGGGTGGGAGAGGTGGAGGGAGGCAGCGGGGAGCGGGTGGGCACAGCTGACTGCCAAGCAGAAGGTGGGGGGTGCCAGGGTGGGACCGAGGACCCTTCTCCCTTCTCCGCTGCCCACCCAGCAGGGCATCAGCACACAGACACACAGCAGGACGTGGCCGCCAGGGCCGCCGTACCATCCAGAGACCAGGACACGCACGAACCAGTCCTGGGGAAAGGGGTGACGACATGGGGTGGCTGGGGGCACAGGCCCGCGGCCCGTCCCTCCCTTCTCCAGGGCCAGGTGGGGACATGGGAACCCCAGAGGCGCCACTGGAGACAGAGCAGGGAGGTTAGTTATGAAGCAGCCAGTAGGTGCCCACAAAACAGACCCTGAGACCTGGTGCCTGTGCCCAGCCCACCTTCCCAGGAGGGTAAGAACAAACCATCTGGGAAGTGGGCTGCAGCCTCCAGCCCTCCCTGTGACCTGGGGCTGCCTGACCTGAGTGGGACCACTGGGGAGTGGAGACGCTACCTGGATACCCCAGGCCTCGCTGGTTGCCCGGCAGCTGCCTCTCCCAGACCCTGGCAAGGGGGGGCAGGGATCCCAGGTCCAGGCAGACCCAGCCCTGCCCAGTAGCAGTCATGAGTCCCCAGCCCACAGCGTGGGAGCGTGAAGCCCTCCTGCCACTGCCCGGTCCCCTGGTCCTCCTCAAGGATGAGCCCACCTGGCCACGCCCACGGCGACAGGGAGAAGGTCCAGACAGGCCTGGTCTGGAGGAGATTCTCACCCCGCGGGGTTAGACCAGGAAGAGAAGGTGGGTGTGAACGTGGCTGGTGGGTGCGTGTAGGCGTGTCATGAGAGTGCTGGCTGGTGAGAGAGCATGTGGGTGGGTCGACAGAGCACACTCACGGGCCTGTGTGTGGCTGTGTGTACACGGTGTGCACACAGTGGAGCGTGTGTGAGAGAGTCTGGTTGACGAGCCGGTGGCAGGAAGAGCCTGGGGCACTTACAAAGTAGATGTCAGTGGCGGGCGTGTCCTCCTCGTCCGAGGCCTGGCTGGCGGGTGCGCCCTCCTCGTCCGAGGCCTGGCTGGCAGTTTCTGCTTCAACAGCGGCAGCGGCACCGGCCATGGAAGCCTCCACCCTGGGGACAGGGATAGACAGAGGGTCTTGACCCTCAGCCCCCACACAGAGGCTCCCTGCGCCCCCACTCAGGATCCAGGCAGGAGCTTCACACGGTCATCACTGAGACGAAATTCCAGGCAGCTGACCACAGGCCACGCGCTCCTGTGCCTGCCATTTAACGCAAATCAGAACAAACCTCCCAAGAAGCCCCCAAATGCTGACCCTAGGAGTGACCTGCCAGCCCACTGACAGCGTGGCCCTGCTACTCCCAGCTCAGACACACACACCTGTGGGCAGGTGCTGGCCTCACCCTCACCAGCTGTGCCACCCTGGGAGGGCCGGTTCCTCCTCTGAACTTCAGTTTTCTCATCTGTAAAGTGGGGAAAGATGGCACCTAGCCACTGGGATCAGACCTTCTTTCTTCTTTATTGATGTGTTTGAGACAGGCTTTCGTTCCATCAGCCAGGCTGGCATGCAGTGGTGTAATCACGGCTCACTGTAGCCTCCACCTCCCGGCTCAAGCGATCCTCCAACCTTGGCCTCCCAAGTAGTTGAGACTATAGGTGTGTACTGCTACGCCCAACAATTTTTTTTTTTTATTCTGTAGCGATGGGGTCTCACTATGTTGCCCAGGCAGGTCTCCAACTTGTGGGGTCAAGCAACCCTCCTGCCTCAGCCTCCTTTAGGAGGCATCACAGATGGGAGCCCCCGAGCCCAGCCTCTCTCTCCTTTTCACTGAGCACTTACTACAGGCCAGGGCCAGCTCCTGTGATTAACCCACTGAGTCTATTAGGGGGGATGCAGAGGGTGCGGCTACTGCTGTGTTGCATTTGCGGAAATGGAGGCACAGAGAGGAGGTGAGGAACGGCCTTGGCCTTGGCTATGGCCACACGGTGCACAGTGTTCATCCCATGAATGAGGGTAAACACGCCCTCCTGCCACATCGGAGGTTCAGTTCCTTTTAGCAAAGCCTGAAATTTCATGGTGCGAGGTTTGGCAATGGCAAGGAGCTGACAGTGGCAGGAGCACTGGGTGGAAGATAAACCCTTAGGGCTTTATTTTTCGGTCTCTGCTGATGTGAGTGCTAAAAAAGCTCTCTTGGAACAAAAATAAAAAAAGCACCTCAAGCAAAAATCATTAAAAAGGCAAGAAGAATCTGGTAACAATGCAAGCATGGGATTACACACACCAGATAGATGACAAAAAAGTAAAGACAGGCCGGGCGTCGAGCCTGTAATCCCAGCACTTTGGGAGGCCGAGGCAGGCAGATCACGAGGTCAGGAGATCGAGACCATCCTGGCTAACACAGTGAAACCCCGTCTCT